TTCATTCATGAACAAGTGTATGCATATACATTCTTTTCCGCCTCACAGATGTACTTTAATACATCTTGCTTTGTCCCCGTAGCAAGATGTCTGGGAGATACTTATGTCTCTGTCCACATGAGCTCCCTTCAGTCCTTTTGGTAGTTGCCTTTTTTTTTTTTTTAAGATTTTATTTATTTATTTGAGAGAGAGAATGAGAGATAGAGAGCACGAGGGGGGGTAGGGTCAGAGGGAGAAGCAGGCTCCCCGCTGAGCAGGGAGCCCGATGCGGGACTCCATCCAGGGACTCCAGGCTCATGACCTGAGCTGAAGGCAGTCGCTTAACCAACGGAGCCACCCAGGCGCCCCTGGTGCTTGCCTTTTAAACAGAACAATAGTTCTCCCGTTTGCCCAGTTGCCAGCACGCCTTAGGGTCTCATGCTTGTCCTGCTTCACGCGTTCACAATTCTTGCCTGGCCCCTTTGGCATCTGAGTTTGCAACCTCTGGCACAGGCAAAGGACAGCCTAGCCACGGAGCGCTCGCCCCTTCTCGCTCTCTGAAGCCTGCAGTTCCCGAACTTCCCAGCAGAGGGAGAAAACACTCAACCGCCAAGAGCACCAAAGGGTTCTTCCCGGGGGCATTGTAATCTTGAAATGTCTGGGCAAGGGATGCATGCTATCTTTCCAGAGACAAAGACACCCCCCCCCCCTTAGCTGGACTGGGATCCTCCCTTCCAGGCCTCCCTTAACTCTGTTTGTCTCCCCCTAAACCTCCCACTTTGACTGAGCCCCACCCTGAGTGCCCCCTCCGCTGCTTGTAGGGACTGGCCCCTTCCTAATGGGAGTAGGGTGGGGTGAAGAGGCTTTGTCCTAGTCTAGGGCCTGGGATTGAAAAACTGCCTGAGGGAGCTACATAAAGAAAGCATGTATTTGGGCGTGCCTTCCTTGCTTCCCCATCCTTTCCTGCTAGGAAGTGGGGAGTCCTTTCTCCCTGTCCCCAGCAGACAACCCCCAGCAGTCTTGACCTCGGAAACCCCCTTTACCCATCCTGCACTCCACACTCTCCCTGGCCGGCAGCCCTCCGCCCCACCCCCGAGATGGTGTTGGGGGTCGCCTGGAGTCCAGCTGGTGGCCAGAGCAGAGCCACCCCTTTCCTGGCCCTGCCCCTCCCCATGACCCCAATCCTTCGCCAGCCACTCAAAGGCGCCTTGTTCTCCATCCAGCCCCCAGACAAAAGTCCCTCTGTCTAAAAAAGCAGAATTGGGGGGAGGGGGCACCCCAACGAGGACCATGTGGGGGCCTACACAGACCCCAGCCAGAAGGAATGCCATGAGGAGGAGGGTCGGGGGGGGGGGGGGGGGGGGAAAGGGGAAGGGAATGAGTCGGGGGGGGGGAGGGAGGGGAAGGGAGCCTCGCACAGTGCAATGATCTTATCCGGAGTGGGAGGCAGCCTCCACCCCAACGCCCACTGCATAGACCCGGGCCTCTGGCTCCCAGCACCCTTGGGAAGAGCCTGAGCTAAGGTTCCGCTTGATGCTCAGAAACCAGTTCCCAATCTCTCCAGGGCATGATGGGCACGTGGGAGAGAGGTCGTGGTCTAAAGCCCAACAGCCCTCACCCCTCCACTCTTACTCTTTGCGCACCCCCACTCCCACCTCAGGACCTTGGTCCTATCAGCCTCTTCTGCTGACCCTCAAACTGTCAAGAAGCAACAAGTGGTCCGGAAGGGGACCTTAGATGTCCCACAATTGCCACCAAGACCTCCAAGAGGAACGTGCAATCCAAGTAAAAGAAACTAGATTATTACACCAATGCATTGCTTTTCCCCACCATTCTGCCAGGCAGAAGCTTGGCTGTTAAAGACCCCAACCTCCTTCCGTCTGAGTCCTTTTCACGGGGGCAAGAGATTGAAGAAGGCCCCCTCCCCTGATGTGAGGAGCCGAATTCCATGCTCCCTCTGGCTACCTGAGGCTGCTGTGGCCTTGGGGACCTCAGGGAGCTCCCTGCCATTAGTGGCTGGGAAGAAGGGGTGGTAACTGTCTCTTTAAGAGCAGGAATGGGGTGAGAGAGCCCCTGAGCTTTAGGGAGTCCGACTTGTTCTCTACCTGCCCAGGTTTGCCTAGGGCGTGGCAGCTGCAAATAAAGGCAGGACTCAGGCTTAGGAGTCCATTCTCTCCCTTCTCTCCCGGAACTTTCCAAGCGGCCTGGGGAGCCACACAGGTGAGCCGCAGGGGTCCCTTACCCCCAACATCCTCTTGGCTCTGCCCCCAAACTATCCTTGCCCCTCTCTCCACTGATCTCTGTTAAAGACACTAGAACTTGCTCCCTTTAAGGATCTTTTCTGGAGGCCGGGGGGGGGTGGGCAGGAGATTAGAGAAAGCACCTTCCATTAATGTGATTGTCCCCCCATCATTCTCCCTTCAGGGGGCTGGGTGAGCTAGCTGGGATGAACCCACAAGTGGGGTTGGGGTGACTGGGTAGATCTGGGGTGTCTGAGTGCAACAGAAACATCTGGATTGGGGGCATCTGGGTGGATAGGGTTGGAGAGGGGTGCCTGGGTGGATGGGGGTATCTAGGTGGATCAAAGGTGGATTGAGGGTATCAGAGTGGATGGTGGGTGACTGGGTGGATTTGGGGTGTCTAGGGATTGAGGATGTATGGGTCCTGGAGACCTCTTGGAAAAGGGGATGGTGGCTTCCTGGGGAGGCTGTAAAATGGGGAGTTGGGTAGGAAGTTTCAGAGACATGGGGGAGTCATTCTGCACAGGCTTGAGGGCCCTGGCCGCCATCACAGAAGAACAGAGGGGGTAGCAGGGGGCGGATGGTGGCAACGGCCCGCACGTAGGGGTTGGGGCTGGCAGGGCGGGGAAGGAGCCCAGACGGGTGGGCAGAGCCTCCATCTGCAGGCTGTCTTCCTCTCCGAGCCTTCACACCAACGTCAGTCCCCGGGAGCGGCTCAGGAGCCCCTTCCACCAACAGCCTGCGTGGGGAAGGTGAGGGCAGATGCCCACACACCAGCTCCCAGCGGCCTGCACTGTGGGAGAGCCGGGCTGGAAATGTTGCCCCCGGGGCTGGGGCGCAGCTGAGATCACTCGTAGGTCTCCCCTGGGCCAGGGATGCTGGGAGATGGCCTGGGGCTGGGGAGTAATGGAGCCCTCGAAGCCAGGGGGACTCAGTGAATTCCACAGAAAGAGGCTTCAGAACTGGGGCTCTGGGTCCCCGGGGACAACAGACAGCATTAAGCTGAGTTAGCAGGGGCTATGGGGCTGTGATAGCAACATGGGGTAACCACAGCTTCATCAAGCTGCAGAGATTATATGAGTGAATAAGTGCAAAGAGCTGTGACCAGTGCCTGGCAAGAGGTAAACGCTCATTGGGCACTAGCTCTTATAACGGGGGTATCATCTTGGGGTAACAAAGCCTCACGAGGCCGCTTTAGACAATAGGTGGTCCTTCTCCAGACCTGCGCCTGGAACCACCAGGCTGTCCTGCCCACACACCCACTCCAGCTCTTCTCCCCAAATCTGTGGGGTCCTGAATGCCTTAGTAATGCTCCCCAAAGCTATAGGCCCCCTTCCTGCAAGAAATGGATGCATTTGAGTCCACCATGTGGGATTAACAACTGAGAGGTTGCCCAGGACCTGAATGGGCAGAGGGAGAGGGAGGAGTCTGTGAGAACATGCAAGAAACAGAAAGGAACACGGGGTGGGGGTAACATGGAGGGTGCGGAGAGAGACGGGGTCACCGTCTTCCGCGGTGGAGAGCAGTCGGGTGACAGAGCAGGGAATGTCGAATGGCTTAGTGAGGGCACGTGCTGTGCCATGGGGGGTGTGACATGGGCGAAGACACAGCAAGGTCATTGGCCAGTGCCCAGCACAGGGTGGGGCGGAGGACAGGCCAGCTCTTGCTGTCAACATCTTGACAGCGTGTGCTGGTGGCAGTGGGGCAGGGGCTGGGGGAGGGCTGGGGACACACAGAGACAGGGGCTTATCTCAGGCACTCGGGATGGCGGGAGGGTGGGCTGATACCAGACCAGGAAGGAGATGGAGGGGTTCTTCTTGCTGGACAGGCCTATCTGGGGAAAGAGGAAATAATGGCTTCCAGGAGGAGCTTGGCAGGAGCAGGGGCAGATGCGGGGGCAAGGGCTAGGGCAGGGGTAGGGGTAGGGGGTTGGGGTAGGGACGGGGCAGAGGTAGGGGCTGGGGTAGAGGCAGGGGCAGGGGCAGGGGTGGGGTAGGGGGTTGGGGCAGGGTAGGGGCAGGGGCTGGGGCAGGGGTAGGGGTAGGGGGTTGGGACAGGGGCTGGGACAGGGGCAGAGGCAGGGCAGAAACGAGGGGTTGCGGGGGTCAGAAGTTGGGGCTAGGGCTGCAGCCCAGTGACTCCTCCCTGCTCTGGCCCCCGACCCCTGCCCCAGCCTCTAGTTCTCTCCTCCCCACACCCTGCTCTGAGCAGCCTGAGGAGCCAGTCTGAGGTCTGCAGAGTCTGGGCAGGGCGGGCAGGCTCTGAGCTGTCTCCAGGAGACACACCCGAGAACCCGGGCCTCCTGCCACCTGGCTCCCTTCATCCCCTTTCCCAAAACACCCCGAGGCCCTGAGAGTCCTGAGTGACAAAGAGCCACTGCAGAGCCAGGCTGCTTTAAATCCTACTCTCTGACATGGTGACCCTTTGCACCCATTTTCAGCTTTCAGAGCCTCAGTTTCCCCATCGGTAAGATGGGGCTAACAGCAGGCAGCGCCTCCCTCATTTGGTCGCCAGGGCCATTCACGTAAAGCCCCAAGTCTGTGTCGAGTGAGTGATTCCTGTGACTCCTCTCCAAGTCTGCGTTGTCACCCACCCTCCTGCACTTGGCGGCTCCTTCTCATCTCCCAGCCAGGCCTCTCTCTGCCCTGGGGCGAGCTGTGTATCCTGGGCGGGAGCAGAGTAGGAGAGGATGGGAACCCAGAGGCACCGGTCTGGCACCGCCAGGCCCGCTAAAGCTGGACCCTCCCCACCCACCCCTACCTTTCAGGCCAGCTGGCTGACATGCAAGAGGTGACACTGAGCCTGTTCATCCTCCTGGCAGGTGAGTGCCTGTGTCCCGGACTGCCTTTTCCCCAGACCCCTCCACTGAGTGGTGGCCAAGCCCCACATGTGTCTCTCTCTCTCTCTCTCTCTCTCTTTCTCTCTCTCGTGCTTTCCGCCTCCCCTGTGCGGCGGTGACTACCTGGATGGCATCTCCTTGAGGGTCACAAGTGTCGCCCTGCTGGTTTCAAGGTGCACACACAAAGACAGGACCCCTTACAGCAGCGTCTCACACAGCTAGTCACCCCCTTGAGGTGTCCTTGATGAGAGGGCTCAGGCCCGGGGCTGTGTCTTCATCACCTCCCTAGCACTTTATTACGAGAGGTAACTGGGAGCTTCGCGGAGGCAGCAGTTATGCAAATCCTTTGTACCTCAGTTTCCCCAGCTGTAAAAATACGGACAATACTAGTAAGTACTTAGTAGTCACTGCCAGGATTGCACAAGTTAGTATTTGAAAAGTGGTTAGAAAAGGGCCAGGTACAGAGTAAGCATTATTTGCTTGTGCTTTAAATATAATTAAAACTTATTAATCGCCCTTTAACAAACAAAGAACAGAGCTTAGGCCCAGACCTCAGGTAGCCCACTGCTTCTGGCCAGAATATAATCCTAGTCCTTTGCTTTTATTGTATTTTTTTTTTTTTTTTATGCCTTACATCAGGCAAGACTGGCATTCCATTCAGGGTAGTGAGACAGAGCTGCATTTTTAAAGAACGTGTATTAAGTTTATAACTAGTAATTTGCTCTGAAAGGAAGCGGTGAGCAAACATCAGAACCGATGGGGTGTGGACGAGGCTCTGAGAATGACTGAGAACTGGTACCATCTGTCATCTTGCCAAGAATGTTCGGTTTCTGCAGGAGGGAGGATTAGCCAGGTGTCTGGAAACATCGGGCCGAAGGGTCATCCCAAGACACCCAGATTAAAACCTATTTCAGGAGGCAAAATGAGGGCGGGCCCATGGGGCTCACAGGTGTGGGGCGGCGGGGGATGTCCACACCTCCAGGTTCGGGGCCGGGCCCCGGTGCCCTCAGGAGGCGGGGACCAGTCCATCGGGGGCCCCTGAGGCTCTGTGGCCCTGCCGGCCGGCTTTGCTGAGGCCAGCACGCCACCTCCCTCTTCCTGCTTCTCCCAGCAGGCCTGCCTGCCTTGGACGCCAACGACCCAGAAGGTGAGTCCGACTCCTCCATCACGCGCACCCCCAAAGTCTCCCCCCCGCACCCTTGCCTCCTGGCTGTTGTCCTGGATTCACATGCTTTTTTCCTTTCTTTGCAGATAAAAACAGTCCTTTCTACTATGGTGAGAACTTGTGTCCCTCTTTGGCCGCCCCCCACCCGCACCCCCTGCTGCCATTCTGTGTCAGGGCTCCCACACGGCTTGGGTGGGGGTCCGATGTGGGCGAAACAGGGGCGAGGATAGGAAGGCGCAAGGATGGGGAGACATTGAACAGTCATCACAGCAGAATAAAGGAATGAGCCACGCCGGTCTGGCCCCCGGGCAGGTTCTCTTCCGGCAGGATAGGTGCACATAGGAAGCCGTTGTTATGGTTCAAATCAACTGCTGGGAGGAGGCTCGCTTTGCAAAAACTGCCCAGAGGAATGGAGCTTTTGGGTGGCCTTCCTGCTGGCGCTCAGACACAGCAAACATGCTCCAAACCCCCGGACCTTTGTACCTTCCGATCCCCCTGCCACGGCCCCCCTGCACCCACTCAGGGCTCTGCTCAGAGAGGCCTTCCCTGCCCAGTCTCCCTAAAAGAGCTGCCCTCTGACTTTTTGTTCCCTGGCTCTGCTTATTGCTTATCTCCACCTGACCTTCCACCAAACCTCTTATCGCTTGTTTGTGTGTAAAGGAGAAAGCACAGGAGGGCTGGGGGGCTGTCTGTTCTCCCAGCTCTGTATCCCCAGCTCCCTGCCCGTCATAAGGTGCCCGATACCTACCTGTCGAATAGATGGAGGTTTGGACGGGGAGGACACAGGCAGGCACTGATGGCCTCATCTGGGTTTCTCCTAGACTGGCGCAGACTCCGGATTGGCGGGCTCGTCTGCGCCGCAGTTCTGTGCATCATCGGCATCATCGTCCTCATGAGTGAGTGGGGACGCTGGTGGCTGAGCTGGTAGGGCAGGGCTGTGGGTCCCCTCCCCTAACCATCCCCTCTCCCCTGACAGGTGGGAAATGCAAATGCAAGTTCAGCCAGAAACCCAGGTAAGATGGGTTCCCTGTGTGCCTGCCTCCTACCGAACAGACACCTTTCACTGGTGAAACAGCTAAATCTCGCAGAAAGAGGCCTCCCGGTTCTGCCCCAGAGAATTCCTGCCACTGAGATTTCCCAGGTTTATTCTTCAGAGCTGATAATCTTCAGGGGGTCCCAAATCCTGAAAAGCTTTGGTCCCATTCCAGGAAAAATAGCCAGGAAGCTCTGTCAGGGCAAGCTGAGAATCTTCTAGCCTTGAGGGAGAGGACAAGGGGGATGGGTACACATCTCACCACTTTTCCGTCCCTAGCCACCATCCAGGGGACGCCCCACCTCTCATCACCACAGGTAAGCCAGGAACAGAATGGGGATGCAGGGAACACGGGGTGTGAGGGGTGGGCGCGTGCAAGTGTGCGTGCCTGTGTGTGCACGCGCCTGGGGGAGAAAACTTCATCTGCTCCCACAAGCGACCCATCATCTCTCCCAGGCTCTGCCCAGAACTGTTGAGGACGGATCAGCCGAAAGGACACAGAGGTCCCTTCTCTTCCTCCGAGGAGCTCTGCCCAGGAGTCCGGATTCCAGGATGGAATTCTCCCTCCTCCCCTCAGAGCACCTTGCCAGGGCCTCACTTTACCTCTCACCGGAGGGGTCTTTTTGTTCATTTTTTTTTTTTTTTCTAAACATGGATCTTGCCTCGTTATTCTTCTTCTAAAAACTGATTGCCTCAAGACTCCCTATGTGTACATCAGGGTGGGCTTTTGAGGACCAGGAGAAGGTGGATACACACTGGCAGCTGACACAGAAGCCGGCAGCTGAATCTCTTTGTTGGGAAAAGCCCAAGGCCTGCTGGGTGGCCTGAGGTCCGCCCTCTGCCTCCAAGGCTAGGGGTACCACAAGTGCAATTTAAAATTTTCTAGTAGCCAAAGGGCGGACACTTTGGGGAGTGAAAGAGAGCTCTAACCAGATGGAATGCCGGGACATTCGAGCGGACACTGAGACCATCCCAGGAAAGCAAGGACATGGATCTTCCTACCATGATATGAGTAGTCAGATAGATTATGATTTTAGTAGTAAGACCCCATGACTCTCCCACTTACCCGAGACCCCACTTTATTATAGAAAACCCTTCCTAATACCCAACTATCCCTGTGAGACCTTCAAATAATTCCGCACGACACTCCTAATAATATAGAGTGGCCACATGGTGTGAGAACCTCCAAGGAGCCTCAAACTCCATTGAGACTCCCCAGTACCCTGTAAGATCTCCAAAATGCCCCCAAGGGCCACCCCGTAAAATGCCTAAAACCCTTTAATTAAAACACCCAAAACTATCTCCTACAATGCCCTGAGACATGACCCCAAGAAGAGACCCACAATAAACCAGCGACTTGTCCCCTAATAATGCCTTTATATCCCTCGAACATCCCATGAGCCCCCCCCGCCCCCCCGCCAAACCATGAGCCCACATTCATGGGGCAAGCGAAAGCGCACCAGGGCAGCCAAAATGCACCTCCCCATAATACTGCTCCTGGGACACCACTCCTCCCCCCATGTCACTCATGAAACACCCTCAACATCGAGCGGGGCAGGTGCACAGCGCGTTTATTGAGCTCGTACACTTTCCGTCCTCTCCCCTGTCCCTCATTGGAGACGCGTAGCCGGGGCTCCCCGCAACAGCTCCTGCTCGCCCACCTGTTTCCCGCGCACGCGCAAGAGGGCCAACACGCTGGGCTTCCGCCTGGGCTGCAGGCATGCGCACAAGCAGCAGAGGAAGTTAGCAAGCCCGGCAGGGAGGCCGGCCCCAGCGACTGATGACGTCACGGAGGCGGGCGCTAAAAGCGATTGGCCGATGGAGTTTAGAGGGAAGGGGGAGCTATCTCTTCCTCAGTACTTTCACAGGGAGCAGGAGGGGTGGGAGTGGGTTGAGGGGGGCACTTCCAGACCTCACGGAGTTCTGCACATTACCCCCATCATGACTTCTGTATCCCGGCTCCTTGCAAGTGCCCCAGCCCGAGCCCCCAAGTCATCCTTAGTCGGGGCATGTGCCCCCAGCCGAGATGTTGCTTATGACTTGAAGGACAGCTCTTGCCTTGAGCTTGGCCTGTGGTCAGTACCTCACAGGAACCATCAGCCCGAGTAGGGCCAGGAGCCCAGTCAAGTGGGCGTCCAGCGGCCTGGGCCTCCCTGGGCCACTGGCCCCTTCCCTCCAAGCCATCGCCAAGGTCCCGTGGGGTCTCAGGCACTGAGGTCTAACTCGTGATGCTGGTAGATCTGTGTGGGGCCCTTGAAGCAAGCAGCGAAGAGGAAGCGTCTGCCGGCCAAGGTGATGGGGGCAAAGGCACGAGGGGCCACCAGGGCTGGGGGTCCCAGCTCCTGCAGAGGCTCCAGGAGCCCCTTGTCAGGCTCAAGGCGGAAGACCTGGCTGAAGGCGAAGTCACTGCCCAGGATGGCCAGCTGGTCCCTGGCGATGAGCAGTGGCTGAAAGACGTGGGCACCACGTGAGGGAAGCTGCTGCAGCAGGCGGAACATGGAGCCATCCCAGCGCATGACCTGTGAAGTGTGGCGACTAGTTAGGGCCTGGGGTCCAGGAGGGCCAGGCCTGCCGGTAGTCCTCTGGGCTTCAGAGCACCTGGAACAGCTTGGAGACAGGCCTGTAGGTCCGCAAATGCCTGCAGCTTTCCTGCCTTCATACCTGTCACCATGCTGCTGCCCAGGCCCCAGACTTGAAGTCATTCTTGGCTCTTCTCTCTCCCTCACACCCCACATGGAATCAGTCAGTTTTACCTACAGTGGTATCTGTTTGTCCCATCTCCTCTGGCCGCACTCTGCCCAGCCACAGTCACCTCCCTCCGGGACGGTAGGCTCTGCCCTGGGCTCCCCACTCCCATCCCTGCACCCACACACATGACCCGTGAACACTTGAGTCAGACCACTGCCTTCTAGGCTCAGAGCACTCCGCTTGGCTGTTCCTCACCCCAGAATGAGAATGCTGGTGGGGGTGGGCCGTCAGCCTTGGGGGTCCAGAGTGTGGTGGCTGTGGCCAAATGTAAGTCTCAGAGTGTGTCAGAGTTACAGAGCCGGAGGGTGGGGCCCAGTGTCAGTGTTGGGGGGATAGGAAGTGGCTTATGGTCAGCCAGCCTGGAGGAGTCACAGTGGTCTTGGGGTCAGTGGAGGGGTGGCCAGAGTTCAAAGATCAGTACACTAGGTGGGGTCAGAGCTCGAAGGTCAGCCTGTGAGGTCAGGTCAGAGTGTAGAGGCCCGTGTGCAAAGGTGGGGTCAGCGCTGAAAGACAAGCCCACACGGGGGGGCAGTCTGCGGCAGGTCAGTCTGGCTTGTGGCCTCCACCGCCTGCCCCACCTGACTGGGCCGGGCCTCACCATGGAGTCCCCGATGTAACGCGTCAGGCACAGGAACACATCCCCACCAGCCTGGAAATGGCGTGTGGCGTAGACGTCCTCGGCCTCGGGGATGTCCGTGCGCCTCTCGAAGCGGCCCCCGAGCCAGTGGAAGAGCACGGGCCGCTGGGAGGCGGAGGCCAGCAGCAGATGGGGCCGGCCGTCCAGCTCCAGGGCCTCGGCATCCGTGTCCCGGTGCCAGGCGTGCAGGCTCTGGCGGGGGTAGAAGCCAGGCCCGTCCTGGCACAGCAGCGTGGTGCTGCCTGCCTTGGAGGCGTCGGCCACCACGAAGCAGGGCCGCCCGTCCAGCCACAGGAGCTCGGCGTCGTTGGGCCGCAGCAGCCGCCGTGGGGCCAGGGCCTGCGTGGGGGCCAGGCGCAGGCCGGGGCTGGGCCGGGCCCACAGCTGCGAGCCCCCCCACAGGCGGGCGGCCAGCATGAAGAGGCGCGGGCCCAGCACCAGCGGCTTGCAGGACACCACCGAGGGCGCTGTGGGGGGGGGGGGGGCGGTCGGGGAGCCGGAGGGCAGGTTAGGCCGCGGGGCAGGTCAGGTCCACCAGGCAGGCTCTTGGGCAGGCAGGGGGATGGAAAGTCTGGGGGGGGGGCGGCTCACCGGACAGCTCTTCCTCAGGCCGGAAGCGCTGCAGGCTGTAGTCCCAGGTGAGGATCAGGCAGCGGCCCGCAAAAGGCTGCGCCAGGACGACATGGGGCTCCCCCTGGTAGGAGAAAGACTCCACGCCCAGCGCCGACTCCCCAACCGTCTGGAACCAGGACAGCTCTGGGGGGGCGGCAGGAGAGAGTCAGGCAGGCACGGGGGACCCCGCGGGCCCTCATCACTGAGCCTCGGTTTGCACATCTCTGAAATGAGGACCATCGTGGTGTGCACCTCACAGGGACACGGAGCGGAATCTTTTCATCGATAGATGAATTAAGTCACAACAACAGGGGAATGCTTTATTTTCTAAGCTGCATGGCATCACCAAATCATTGCTAGATGCAACGTATTTCTTAATTCATTTGACGTCACAAGATCTCTGTGAGGGACATTTCGTTCTATCCATTCTACAGATGAAGAAGAGCTATCCCAGCCTTCCCATCTTCCACGAACGAGGATTGGGGCACAGAGCCGCCCACCATGTGACCCCAGCGCTCCCCCAGCACCTCCCTCCTGAACTTAGGTACGGCCTTGTCCAGGCCAAGTTCCCCGTGGAGAAAGAGCAAAGTGCTGAGGGTAATGCTCGCCTCGTTTGTTTGACAGTGGCTCATCCTGGACTTGGTCTCTTTCCCCTTCTCCCCATGGCCTGGCAGATGGACGTGCCACGACTCCGTTTCAACCATGAAAACCAGGACAACACCCAGGGGCTGCCCCACCCGCCTGGACTGCTCGCCTCAGACCCTTCTGTCTTCTTTGAGTCATGGGATTCTGAGCCTCTTGGTTATGGCCTCTTAGCTTTTATGGAAATGATGCACCAAGGTTGCCCAGCTTGGGTGGAGGAGCCGGGTGTAGACTCCGGGTTATGATACTTTACTCTATGTGCCAGGCCCTGTTTCCAGGCACCGGGGTTGAAGCAACGAACTGAGCCACCAAGGATGCCCACCCAAAGCTGGATCTTTGAGAAATGGCCATCATATCATCCCCCTCCGCCTTTCCCCGTGCCTTGGGCTCTGGGAGGGCTCTGCTCGAAACCCTCCATGGCTTCCCACAGCCCTCAGGGTAAAATCCACTCTATTCTCTGTAGCTTTCAAAGTCCTACACAGTGAGGCCCCTGCTGACTTGGACCTCACCTGTGTCCTTCCCTTCACTCACAGCCCCAAGACACTGCCTGCCTTTGACCTGCAGGCAGGACGGACTCTCTGCTGCCTCAGGACCCTGCACACGCTGTCCCCTCTCTGCAGCGGGCTCTTCCCTCTGTACTTCACTGAGCTACCTCTGGATGTAAAGCCACCTCTTCAGAGAAGGCTTCTCCAACGCCCCATGGAAGGTAGGACCACCCTGCCACCTTAATCTCCCTCATGGCTCGCTGTGTTTATCACAATGTGTAGCATACTTTTGTTTCTGCAACATTTTATTCAATGTCTACGTCCTCACCCGCCAGAGCTCTGAGGGCAGGGCCCATTGCTGTCTGGGTTGCCACAGTGTGCCGACTGCCTCTCACGGGGCCGGACACAGAGTGGCCTCAGTGACTGTGGGACAGCTGAATAAAGAGTGACCCTTACGTTAAATTCTCTGGTTCTGTGAGTCCCACAAACCCAAAACACGACTTACACTTAGATGCTGGTAAGAATTGATTATTACATTAATAGCCTTACCCACTCCCTCAGGAAGCCCTCCCTGGCCCTCCCGCTGTGCCTGGCCCTCGCTCTGGCTCGGGGCGCCCACAGCTCGGTGGGCTTCCCCCACCCGAGTCCTGACCACTCCGGGCTCTCACCCTCCACCTTTCCCCGTGCCTTGGGCTCTAGGAGGGGCAAGAGCCAGGGCCATGCTCATCACTGCTGTGCCTCTTGCCCTGCCCAGGGCCCATAAAGGCACCAAAATGTATTTATGGAAAAGCAACGTGATCATAGCAGGTATTTTTAAATGGTCATTTTTATATTAATAACAACCACCAGAATGCGCATTTATGAGGGCCTCCCATCCAAGGCTCGGCACCACATGCGGGCGTGGATGCATCACTGAATTCTCGCTGCAATCCTACAGCACGGTTTATTACCTCCATTTTACAGATGAGGAAACTGAGGCTCAGGGAGCTGATGCTCATGCTCAGGGGCTCACAAGCTGGGAAACAGCAGAGCAGGGAGCGAGGTGAGCCCTTCAGCCCTGGGAGCCATTCCCCTGCTCTCCCACCTTCTTCTGGGACCCCTGCGGCCCCTCCCACCCTGCCGGGAAAGCCCCCACCTATGGCTCTGCACTTGAACGTCTTGGGGTCGAGGTGGCGGAGCTGCCTGTGGGCCAGAGCAGTGGGGCCGGCGCAGGCCCCAGTCCCCACGCTGGCATTCACGGCGGGCATCCACTGCAGGAGCCAGAGGACGCGGCAGTCACACTGGAACGGGTTCCCGCGGAGGTCCCTGGGGCAAGAGGCCGGGGAGGGGCTGCGACCTGGCTTCCACCCCCCTGGAGGCCACGTTCCCCTCTCCCTCCCCAGGCAAGGGTTCCGGATGGGGCCTACGGAGGAACCACTGCCACCATACTTCTCTGTGTCACCAAAAGTGGGCAGAGCACTCCCCTTCCCCCTCAAACAGCCCCCAGCTCCCCTGACCCACCCAGCCCCCTTGAGCCTCACACGTGAGTTAGGGTCTCCAGGCCTCGGAACAGGAATCTGGGGAGGGTCTCGAGATTATTATTGGCCAGGCTCCTGGTGGAAGGAGAGAAGGAGGAGGAGCCGTCACCAGCGACCCGGATCCCCTGTGTCCCTGGGTGATGGGGTTTGGGGGTGGGCGGCTGTCAGGGCAGGCTGGTGAGGCGGAAGGGAGGGGTGAGGCCTTGGGGGAGGCACGCACAGATGTGTGAGGGAGCGGAGTCCTCTGAGAGCGTTCTTAGAGATGGAGCCAATCTCATTGTCCTCAATGAAGCTGTGGAGGGAAGCGGGGTGAGGGGGAGGCCCTCGGTTCCCTTGGTTCCCTGCTGTGGCCCCCCCTCCCCCGGCGCGCTTGGGGAAACTCACCCCATTTAAGCCATAGGCCACTGGAATGTGCTGAAGCCTCCCCAGAAACCTGTCCTCCCCAAGGTTCCGGGCGATCATCCCAGGAGGCAGGAACCTAACCCCGTGCTCACTGCCAGCCTCACAGTGAACTCCGCCGGCTCACCGACCCCAGCACTAGCTTCGACGTCACCACCCATACCTCCGCCATCATCCATCATGACCCACCCCCGTGCCTGCATCACCATCCCCCACCCCGGTGCCAACAGCATGGCTGAGACTATGGTCAAAGCCAAGCTGTGCCACCACCACCCCTGACCCTGGCACCGCCACCCACCCCCGTCACCCACACCAACGCATCGTCGCCAAGCCTCACCCAGCACTACTGGGAAGCATCACCAACAACACAGCCTCCATGACAACCCCGACAGGACTGCCACCGTCGTCACCGACGCCGCCACCGTCACCAAAAGCCCGCGGACCAGCCTTGGCAATACCAACATCGCCAGGACGCCCCGCACTCCCTTCTTCGCCCACCACCGGCACGGCTGCTGCCACAACTCCCGTTCACACCTACACCTCCAGCACCACCACCAAACCCAGTACCAGCCGCCGTGCCCTCCCAGCAACGCCAACGCTGGAATTGCCAACGCCCACAACAGCGACGGCCCCAACACCAGCCCCTCAGACCTCGTCATCAGTATCGCTCCCAGCACCGGCGCCATTGGGGCTGCCATCTTGACCCACGTCACCCCCGCGTCATCATCCTCAGTACCGCCACCGCTTCCCGGGGAGCCGCAGCGACAGGGTCCCCATCAACACCATGGTCACCAACGCCGACACAACCACCCCCATCAGCCCCGTCACCACCTCGGAGTTGTCTCCTGTTCATACGAAACATTTTCTTGTCTCTGGCCTCTTTGTCCTCTCCCTGGGCTCCCCTGAGTCAGGGGAGGCCAGAAACAGTCTTGGGTGATCCAGGTCCTTTGTGCGTCTTGAGGCACAGAGAGGGGAGGTGAGCAGGCTGAGATCACACAGCTGAGCAGGAGCCCTGACCCCACCCGAGACACCAGGCCTCTTGCCCCTCCAGGAGGGACCTTTATCCAGAACCCCCACCCCCCCAACGTGCCAATAAGCCCCTACCTCCCTCTACCGTCGGAGCCACAGGTGGGTCCCTGCTTCCTCTCCCGAGCCCCCATCCCAGCCGCCATCCCCTGGCCTCACTCACAGGTACTGCAGGTGGGACAGGCCCGCAAAGGCATCGTCCTCAATCACAGAGAAGGAGTTGGATGTGAAGAGGCTGACAAGGGAGCAAGAAAGCCATTTTTCCAGAATTGCTGCCCCCTCTCTGACATGTTAACGTTGCCCCCCCAACCCTCATGCGCATGGTCTCACACACACAGGTACACGCGACGCTTTCGCAGACATGCGCAAACACACATGTGAGCACGCACCCCCCACGCACCGGTGCGAACACCCCCCCCCACTCCCTCGAGCTAACTGTCGGCTCAGCTGGGCCCCACTCACAGCAGGTGCAGTGTGGGCACCCTCAGGAAGCTGCCGGCCTTCAGCTGGGTGACTCCAGTCCTAACGAGTGAGCTGGGGACGTGGGCAATGGTGGGTGAGGAGAAAATCACCCCAACGCTCCGGTCCCGCCCCAGAGCCGTCTCCTGCCTGGGGGACCCTGGCATGCCGCCCCAACCCCGGATGTCTTTCCTTTCCATCCTAGGGAAACAGCCACTTGGCAAGGATCCTGGCAACATTCAGCTTCCCACCCCCCGACCGCCCACGGCCGTCCCTCCCCCCACCCCCCCGGGGCCCCAAATGCTGCCCTGGGCTTTGGAGTCTCCCTTCGGCTCCTGTCCAAATCCCAGCAGCTCCCTTTGAGGCATCCCAACATCCTTCGCTGCCCACCACCCAAGATCCTAAAGGGTCCCTGCTTCCTCGGGGGCCCCGGCACCCTGCCCCCAGCCCCCAGCCCCCAGGGCCCCAGGACACCCATCCTCACCCTCAGGAGGGCCTGACACTCACAGTGACAGCAGGGTCGGGGAGAAGCTCTCGGGCAGGTCCGGAGAGCCCTCACACAGGGCACTATCCTTGGAGCAGGAGCAGCTGAGAGGACACTTTCCCTTTGGTGGTCTCCAGGCCACCCCCACGCCGGCTCCAGCCAGCAGCAGTAGAAGCACGCCCGCCCCTCCCATGCCCCTCACCCCTGCGGCTTCTCTCTGCCCACCCAGCTCAGCGGGCTGGGGCCGCTACATCTGCTGCACCAGGCGACCCTCCATCCCGCCAGCTGGCACACTCTGTCCCGGCTTGTCTCTCCTTTCTCTGTCTCTCTTTCAGCCTCTCTCTCTTGTCTAATTTTCTATTTCTCTTTCCTTTTCTTGTCTCTCTCTCTTTTTGTGTTTCTGACTCAGTGAGTTAGCTTCCCACTCTCTGTCTTTATTTCCGTCTGTGTCTCTGTCTCTGTTTCTCCCTGTCTCTGTTTCTGTCTCTCAATCTCTGTTGGCGTGTGTGTGTGTGTGTGTGTGTGTGTGTGTGCGCGCCCGCGCGTCCCGTGGTGTCTTTATTTCTCACCACCCTTTCCAGTTCCCTGTTCTTCCCCTCCTCCCACGCCCCTTCTCCTTGGAGGTTTGGGAAAGGGACTCACTGGGCACTGGGTGCGCCCGGCAATGCAGCCTAAGAAGGAGGAGGGGGTCAGAGGCCGTAGGAAGAGCAGCCCTAACGAAGGGACTGGATGGCCCCATGGGAGGGGAGGGGCCACAAAGGGCCGGAGCTGCCCTGACCCCTCTCAGCCAGCCCCCTCCCCAGATTCTCCACTCCACCCCACTCGGAGTGTGAGGAGGATGTCACCAGGGTGGGGACCGGATGGCTCGGCAGGCGGAGGGGGTGGGAGGAGAGACCACTGGGGGGCTGGAGCCATCCTGGCCACGCCCAGCCAGCCCCCTCCCCGGGCTCCCAGGAGGGTGTGATGTGCCGGGTCACCAAGGCTTATCGGAGTCCAGCTGCTCCCTCTGGTGGCCACACTCGGCAGGGCAGCTGCCCGGCCCCAAACCCACAGCCTCCCTCGCCAGCCTGAAATTAACCCCTTGAGTGCCCACCACCCACCGGGACAAGGAGCCAACTCAGGGGAAAAATGAGGTGAAGATGCCACTCCCCCCTTCCTCAGCGTTGGCTCTGCACTAGGCCCTGTCCTAAAACTTTGTCTATTGGCTCATGCCAACCTCATCACAACCCTCTGAGGTTGATCTTATTATACGGCTATTTTACAGATGGAAACACTGAGGAGAGAGGTCAAGTTAATTTGAGATTTGGGTTACCAGCTGGGGCAGGGCCAGCGCTCAAGCCCAGGCAGCCGGCTCCAGGGCCTCTCTGCGTGATTTTTGGGTTCTTTCTTGGGAGATCTGAACTCATGGATACTGGTTGTTTTCATTCGGACTAAGCTTTTAGCAATTTCGATATATTCTGCCCATTAAATAAGAAAAATAAATAAATGACACTTGTTACCCAACCTGAAACAGCAGTAATAATAATCATTGAGCACTTCCTGTATGCCTGACTTAACATGAATTTATTCCGTTCTCACAACGGCCCCATGAGGTGGGTCATACTACTGGTCCCCACTTTGCAGATGGGAAAATTGAGGCATGAGGAGGTTAAATGATTCACCTCATGGCCACGGCTGCACATACTCAGAACACTTAACAGCACCAGCTTCCTTCTGAGGTGACTACGAGTTTATCCCCATTTTACAGAAGGAGAAACTGAGCCTCAGAGTGGTTACATCATGTGCCCAGCATCACCCAGCTAGAAAGTGGCTGAGCTGCTCCACTCTGGAACAGTGGGCCTTGTGAGGGGGAGAAGCCAAGGACGGGCTGGAGCTGGCCAGGTGCCCCCAGCCCTGCTTGCCTTCCCTGCTTCTCTGTCAGCCCTCCCCAGGGCTGCATAAACATCAGGGTTATCATTAACCAGAGACTGCCGGTGACCCTGGGGTACAGGGCCATGAGGGGCAGAGGCTCAGACGTACAGGGATGAGGGTGCATTTCAAAGCCCCCTGGGTCCTCTGAGGTGGGTCCCCTGTGTGTGTGTGTCCAGGCTCTCCATGCCTGTGCCTGCGTATGCGCATGCCCACGTGCTCCCCACCCGTGTCCTCCAGAGTCTGAGCCCATGTCTGACCCTTTCAGGGTAGGGGCAGTTTCTGTCCTTAACCACCAGGGACCTCAGGGGAATTAGCTCCACCTTCCTAAGCTTCGGTTTGCTCATCTCTGAAATGGAGTTAATAAGAAGCCTGTGTTGGGTTCAGAGACCTCTGAGCCTGGCCCAGTGTCATACGTATGATCTCGGTGATTTCTCCATTTTATGGGACAGAAAACTGAGGGACAGAGAGGTCACATGGGCTGCTCAAGGTCGCACAACCAGGAGTGGCAGAGCTCAGACCCGGAACCAGCTTTCTCTGTCACCAGAGCCTGTGAGTCTGGCCCATGTGTGAGGACAGCGTGTGTGTTATGCAACAGCACAGAGCCCCACAGGCCCCGTGAGATCAGGAAAGGGGGGGTTTGGGGTTAAAAGTGTCAACACACATTTGGTGGTGTGTCACAAGTGTGTCAACACAAGTGTGTAGGCCTGTCTGCCTGTGACAGGGCCCTGTTGGCCGGTGCATGAGGGTATGAAACACAGTTTGTGTGTGTCTGTTTTTGTGGTTATGTGTAAGAGTGGCGGGCCGTGTGGCGGTGTCCTTGACAGAATTTCTGCTTCCCTTTGTGCCCACAGAAGTGTGGGTAGGCACCTGCGTACATATGTACACAGCGTGTGGGCCTTCCCATCCCTGAAACTGGAGGAGAGCTAGCTGTGCGCCTGGGCTGTTGAGTGTATTTATGTGTGGTGTGTGTATCAGTGTGTTTCTTTTTTTTTTTAAATTTTATTTATTTATTTGACAGAGAGAGAGACACACAGCGAGAGAGGGAACACAAGCAGGGGGAGTGGGAGATGGAGAAGCAGGCTTCCCGCGGAGCAGGGAGCCCGATGCGGGGCTCGATCCCAGGACCCTGGGATCATGACCTGAACCGAAGGCAGCTGCTTAACCAACTGAGCCACCCAGGCGCCCATCAGTGTGTTTCTGTACAGCCGTTTGTATGTCTTCACAAGAGTGTGACCATTTGTAAGGGTGGACGCGTGTGTGGCGAGGTCTTTGTGTCTCTGTCCGGCATCCATCTGAATGTGTGTGTGTGTGTGTGTGTGTGTGTGTGTGTGTGTGTGTGTGTGGTGTGCCCTCCTGGGGACCCTCACAGTCAGCAGCAGACAACATACACACACGCTGAAATGACCCCACAACAGCCCTGTGGTGCTGCCCAGGGCCCCGCAGAACCCTGGGGTCAGGGGTCAGTGGGCTCCTAAGCATTCGGACGGGGTGACCTTAGGCCCCGACTGGGCCCCACCCCCAGGGATCTCACAGAAAACCACTGACACCCACCTTCCCACCGCAGGGCAGAAGCTCTCGGAGGTGGGCCCGAGGCCCGAGCGTGGGTGCGTGCCTGCGTGGGTGCGTGCGTGCGAGCATGTGTGCGTGTCCGTGGTCCCGTCCTCCCTGCCAACGCGGCCCTTCTCCAGCGATCCCAACGCATCTCCTGCGGCTCCTCCATCTGAGCTGAGAGAGTTAACCTAGCGGGCCAGGGCGGTCTGGGCTGGGGGCCGCCCCCTGGCCCCCCTCCAGCCCCGGCTCCAGTTACAGCTGCTGGTTGGGGAGGGTAGGGGTGGGGTGGGGCTGGGAGGGGAGACCGCTGAGGGCGGGCGCAGTCCAGCTCTGGGCCAGGGGGTCCAAAGTGCTCACCCCCGGCACGGCCGGACGTTTGGGGGCCTTTCAGCAGGGGACAGCCTGATTGGGGTGAGCGTCCCCTGCCCTCCCCTCCAGGCCTCACCCCTCGCCTGGCTGGGCCACCTATTTTGGGAGCAGGAGTGGCCAGCCCGTGGCTTCCCAGGCAGGCCAGACCCAAGAGGAAGGGAGTGTGGGTAGGACAGTGGGGTTCCCCAGGAGTGGGCGTGTGGGTGCAACGTCTCCCTCCCCTGCCGCTGCGTGTGCACCCTGGCGGGGGGGGGGGTTCAGACACTCACGTGCGTAGGTCGGGTTGCGTCACGATTTGGGGGCACTGGAGGCTCAGATGAAGAGTATCGTTTTAGTGACTGTCTCCACCCCACGGCTTGCTCCAACCAGGAGTTTGGGGGAATGGGTGTTGCCTCCACTGCAGCCCCACTGCCTGTGCTTGAGTGTGTGTGTGTCTGTGTGTGTGTGTGTGTCTGGGTGTGTGTCCCTGCCCCTGGCATCTGTCTTCTGTCTCTCGGCCCCGCTGCTCTGGGCCTCATGCCACTTGCCTGGCCGTGTCCGCCCATGAAAGATATCACCCAGAGGCAGGCAGAGGGGATGTTTTCCCCCCTGTTCTCATCATTTCCAGAAGACGAAAAGGGGAGGCCTTTCCCACAGGAGCAGCCTGGAGCCATGTGGCAGCCGGGCCTCACCCCGGCAGGGTTGTGCGTGACCCCCGAGTGGGGGAAGGAAGGCTGTTGCCATGGTGGCCTGTGTGAGGCAAATTCCTCCAGGGTGAAGTGGGAGATATTTATACCCAGGGTCAGGCAGAGAGCGGGCTCGCGGCCGAGGGCAGGAGAGCTGGGGTATTACGCAGACACAGGGAGGCCCTGGTGGGCGGGCAGGTGGACCCTTGGGCGGGTCCTGCCTGCATCGCCCCTCATCCCTCACCGCGTGTGTCTGTCTCTCCACCTGGGTGGGGCGAGCCATCCTGCTCTTCCCATGGGGTAGGTGTGGGGCATCTGGGGCCTGCTGTGGGGAGGCCCGGGCCTGTGGGAGACCCCTGTAGACTGTGTGTCTCACCCCTGCCCTTGCTGTGTGTCGTACAAGCCCCACTGTGACTTGTTTTGGTGACACTGTGTCCTCATGAAGCGGGCGGTACCCCTGTTTCTCCCAGTGGCCAAGTTGGATGATGGACACTTTTGGAATCAAACCCCTGGACTCTGATTTAACCCCCTGGGTTCAAGTCCTAATGGTGGTGGGGGGGAACGAGGGAACACATTTCTTGACCCTTGGTGTCCCCCAGGACAATGGCGCCTCTCTACCACATCTTGGTTCTCTGTATGGGTTTTCTCACCACAGCCAAAGCAGGTGAGTCTGGGGTATGTAGCCCACCACGCACCT